TATTTCAATACCTTTATTTTTCCGAATTTTTTGTTGTACGATACGTCAAATATATTTCTGTTTTTCCTGTACATTTTTATTTTCTAGACCATTTTGATAGTATAGTATAGTAGATGCTCCCTTAGAGAAAGGCTTTACATACTTTGTGTCGCGTCTCATTTATACACGAACAGATATCTAGAATATTACAGAAACCTCCAAAAATGCAATGCAACAAAAGATCTACACTACCAATGTAAACAATCATACCAGTTTGGTTACTACGATTACTCACAAGTGCCAAATATAACAAAACTAATATTATATGGCATAAAGTGTGTCACAACTATACCTTTTATACAATAAACAGTTAGTCCGTTACGACTGACTGTCCACGAAGCATTCACTAGCGAGGAAACTCTGTGGACGTTCTGACCTATAATTACTTTTATCGTTATTTATTATTGAGAAATATTTAATGTCATAAATATAAAATTATTTGCATCCTTATTCATCTGTATCCCATTTACCAATAATTTATATTTCTAGTAATTCCCCAAAAATTAATTATTTTTATTAGATTATGGATTTGTAAACGGCATAGCCTACAAGTTATTCAGAAATAACTTGCGTTCATCGTCAATTCTTAAAATGCAGAAGTATATGAATCTTTGCCCAAAATAGTCCAATTAACTAAGCCTTTAAATCGAAATTTTGCCAACTTGGCTGAATTTTTGATATGAGTTAGTTTAAGGTATATTATAACAATAAGTGACAGTAATTTTTTGTTCAACCCCCGGCCAAGGGTGGAAAAAGATAAAACAAAGGGCTTTTTCAAGATAACTCAAAAAGGGTAAGAGCATGAAAGTTGTAAAGCAGACAATTCTACATAAAAATGGCCTCTTAACTTTTTCTTGTACTATTATAATTAACAGAGTTAGGGAGGCTAGAAGTTAAGGGAAGATTTCAGAAATTTAAAAAAAATCATAACAGAAAAATGATTGAATTTTGTAATTTTTTTTTTTCAATCTGCTCTAAAATATGTAACTTTTCTTTTCAGAGAAATAGATATATTTTTTAATTTTTAATAAGAAAGTTATAACAAAAAATCAAATTTTTAATCGTTAATTTTAATGATTTAACAAAATTAAATTTTTTTTCTAGCTCTTACCCTTTTTGAGTTATCTTGAAAAAGCCCTTTGTTTTATCTTTTTCCACCCTTGGCCGGGGGTTGAACAAAAAATTATTCTCACTTATTGTTATAATATACCTTAAACTAACTCATATCAAAAATTCAGCCAAGTTGACAAAATTTCGATTTAAAGGCTTAGTTAATTGGACTAAAAGTGGTCAGCCGCAACTAAGAACAAAAATAGAATGTCTACCAACTATGTGAAATATTAATCAAATTTCATAATTTCTATTAAGACAATGTGTTTTTTTCATGAAAGTGTAAATGTAAGTAATCATAGTAAATTATTTTTCATGTGTTATCGATCACTAAATTTGCATCATGCTGAAGTTGATAGTTTAGAGACTATAAATAAAAACAACTTTGTAATTTTCACCTTTGAGGGCCCGTAACTTATTAACGAAGGCCATTATGGAAAAAAATTATATGAAAAACTGATATTATTTTGACCTCATCTATTTGTACTCGACTTTTTTGTATCTTTACCGGGACACCCTGTATATGCATGCTAAGTTGTTTCATTAGCATACTTATAGCTACTTTGAAACATATTAGAATCTGTAGCTTCATTTAATAAAAATTAGGGAAAATATTTACAATTATTTTCTGTTAATACCATTAAAGTAATGTAATAAACAAAAATACCTTCTTTCTAAACAGTGTTTCGGTTTAACAAATACTATTTTCCAAAAAAAAATAGAAAAATATGTTTTAAAGCATTATAGACAGAGTGATAAAAGATAACTTTCGCTAACAGACATAAGATCACAAAATCTCTTGGTATTTGCCAACAGAGGATCAGTATTTACCTTTGTACTAGAAAAGAATGAATTGCTTATTTGAATTACACGTATTTGTTTGCCAATACCAAAATTTTTAGTCAATAATGCATGAAATCCGGATATTAGAAAGAGCTTCTGTATAAAGTAATTAATTACATCAGAATTTATAGCAAAACATTTTTTTTTTATTCTATTTTAAAGGTTTAAGCTAATTCACAAGAGGTTGGAGCCACGTCCCTCTTCGTAAGCCTTAGAAACATTTTAAAAATTTTCTGGGAATCTGAGGTGGCTAACGATGAAGGTTTCTCGAATGTGTGTGAATAAAGTTAAATTTTTATTTTTCTATAAGGTTCGCGCACAATCTACAAGGTTCTACTCTATTATATGTTTTGTGGTTCTACCCCCTCCTGGACAACTTCGTGGCTACGCCCATGATTACCAACGATGACTCGCCGAAGAGAGCTGTAACCTTCATATATACATAAATGTTTCTGAATATTTCTGAATACTAAAGTTCCGTTTCTACTCTTCACTGTTGGTTCTTTAACTTTCCAATATCTTACGCTTTTTTCAAAGAGGTTGGAACAGATAGAGATAATAAAGACTGAAATTTATCTACCGAAAGACTGCCGTTTTCTGCAACTGATGATTGACAGGTGGGGGAAACGACAATGCGTAGTGGGTGGTGAGATTTGGTGAGAAACTGACACCATGCGCAGTAGTAGAGATGTTTTAAAATCTTATGAGCTTTGACCTTCATATGCGCAGAAACATAATTCCGACCGTCGCCTAAATTATTCTACGTCCTAAAAACATTACACGTATTATTCACAGTCTCTCTCGAGCTCTAGCGTAAACAAGCCTTTGATCCGATTACAAATATCATAATAAAATGCCCTATTCTTTATTATTTTAATTTAAACAATAAAAATATATATAACGAACGTTCGCCAGTTGACTTTATTGATGCCCAAGCGCCTTAGTTCATGTCTACTTGTAATGATGCACATGGTCTAGTTCTGAGTCAATGTTTTCACAACGTGCTTGTTATAAGAATTATGGGGATACGCCACGCCTTTCGCTCATTTCGCGGCTCATGAGATATTAAAAGACCTCTACCTATATGTCTATTTCGTCCAAATCTTCTGAAACCACTTTTCACCATCGCTTTATTGGTCATCCTTTCTTCTTGTCTTCGTTTTCCAGACTACAGCCTTTTGGGTACTTCCAGAGACAGCTGTTCAGTGTGGTCCAGTCACTGCATTTTCCCGCTTTAATTCTCAACTATAGCTAGTGCCTTACATATTTCATAAATTTCTTTATTTATTCTCGTTTCAATGTTATTGTTTTCTTACCTCCCAATATTTTTCGATCGTAATACTTTTCGTTCCACACCCATGCTTTACATCCATATATTTCTGTTGTCGTTACCACTGTTTTATAAAGTCGGAATTTCGTATTTTCTAGATAGTTGATTTGCCCCCAGCCCTCAGCAAATGATTCAACACTTTCACATATTTATTTGCTTTTATTATTTATTTTTCTCCTACTCTGTATCTGTTTTTTATTCTGCCACCCAAATGACAGATAGGTACCTTAAACTCTTCAAATTTCACTGTTTCCAAACTTTTAGTGATTTTCATTGCATGGTCCCCCTATTTTCATCACTTTAGATAGGTATTTCTCTTGGTTTGTCTTGTAGGCCTCTCTTAGCTTCTTCTATTCTTCTCCCATTCTGACCGTTGTTTCCTTCAGCTCCTTGGTACTTCTAGCTGTAATGCGTATCCTTTATTTCACGATTCTGTATATGTGTGTCCCGCTCGACTGAAATCCCTGTCTCCTTTTATTTTTATGAATAGTAAAATTAATAGAGAATCTCCTATCTAGGGCCTGTTCTTGTGGTAAAGTCCTTAATTACTTGGGCTTTTATATTAAGTAGGTACCTACTTATAGTTGATCTTGAACACCGTTTGTACCGTCCAATTAATGATTTCCTCTATAATAAAATTTCTCCTTTGTTCATTTCCTGCCTATTAGTACAAATTAAATATTTATTTTGTGTTAAATCTAATTGAAAATTTCAATTAAGTATCTAGTAAAACGTACAATATACTAAACCTACAGTTGCTATAATTTATAAAGGCACTGTAACTAGACCTAGTATCTAACAAAAATATTGGTGTTATGACAAGACTGCTTATAGGAGTGTAGAGTAGAGGTGTAGAATTAGCCTAACATTGGGTGTGTTATTTGCAATATTTTTTTTTATTAGTATGAGACGAGACATCTATCGATATAATTGTGAATTAAGCTCTAATATACATATTGGAACCTGTTTTTCTCTTATATTTTTGTTAGTGATGGGAATAATCGAATGAATTAAATAATCGAGAGGTTACCATTCGAATTAATTTTATAATCGAATGATCATTCGAATGAATAATCGAAAGTTCACTTTGAAAATTTCCGGTCTATCCCAAATCATATGCGAAACATGTTGACGTTAGGTAAATGAATGACTGTCGCGGATTGGGGCATTTCTTCCATATTTCTTCGTTGCCAGTTGAGTGGTTCAGCAGCATGTGTTTAAAATGAGTAGTCGCCGCCTAAAGAGGTCCATTGTTTGGGATTTTTTTGAAAAAAAAAATTATATAGAAAACATAATTTGGTATTATTTTCATTCATATGAATTTTTATCCCCGCTAAATAAAGCTCCCATCTAACCCCCCGCGATGCCACTCATAAAATTCCTGCATACCTTTTTTCTTGTATGTCGGTGCGGTGATATTCGATTGTCTCATCTATCCTCTCGGCCGTCTTATCTCGAGATGTTGTAGCTCGTTAGAGCGTTGGAACAATCGAAACATCTGCGCACTCGCTCGAGTAGTGCAGGTATTAGTAACGCTGTGGCCACTGTCATTCGTATCCGAATAATCGAATGATTCTTTATGATCACTCGAGATATCTCGAGAGATTTTCATAATCGATATAATCGATAATTTTCATTCGAGTAGTCCCATCACTAATTTTTGTTTGACTTCCATTAACCTAACCTTAATGCTTTTTTTTGAAAATATCAATTTGTGTAAATAAATACTGTTTTCTGATTTTTAAATATATTTGTTCTTAGTAAACGTGATAAAAAAGGTGTATTTTCTGTTGCAAAATGTATAACGTCCATTAAAACTCAACGTTAAGTTAAACCTTAATACAAATAAAATGATATTTTTGAAGCCCTCATGGGTTAATCATGAAGGTAAATTTTTATTTATTTATACAAAGATAAATAATATAAGTGATTTTATGTGTGTTAGATGATAAACCAATATTTTCCGTGGATATACATCCTAATGGGGGTAGGTTTGCTACAGGAGGCCAAGGCGCTTCAGGTGGAAGAATCGTTATTTGGAATATTGGCCCAGTAATTAACGAACATGAGGAAACTGATCCCAAAATTCCAAAAATGTTATGTCAAATGGATAATCACTTAGGTAAAATGCTATTTATTTCATACATATATATCGGGAAATGCTTAGTGTCAAAGAATAAATTATTTATGAGGAGTTATTTAAAACATTAACATGAAACAACAGTTTCTACAAATCTGCTTTCATAAATAGTTGATTCTATTGAAATGCAGTGTAATGAATTTTAATTACCTGATTAATTATACAGAGTAGGTACTTAGCTACATGAAAATTTTTTCTCCTCATTGTCGCCTTTATATTTCAAGATATGAAAAAAGTATATAAGTGTAAAAGTTAGGGAAGATTTGAGGTTGACAAACAATAGAACATCGTGTTACTGAGATAGAGGCATGACATGTATTCGTTAATGGAACGCCCCGTATATTTTTATTCATTTACAAACATTTTATTGATTTCCAAGTATTCATATTAACTGAATGAACAAACCCATTTTATAGCTTGTGTGAATGTTGTCCGTTGGAGCAACGCTGGTCACTTGTTAGCCTCGGGAGGTGACGATAAATTAGTAATGATATGGAGGTTAACCAATGAAGGGAGTTCTTCTGTATTTGGCAGTGGAAAAGTAAATGTGGAAACTTGGAAATGTATGCATACATTGAACTCTCATAATGGAGACGTTTTGGATATTGCGTGGGCGCCCCATGACGGTTGGCTAGCATCCGGTAGTGTAGATAATACTGTGATTATATGGAATGCACACAAATTTCCGGAGAAAGTTGCCGTTTTAAAAAGTCACACAGGAATGGTTAAAGTAAGTTATATCTTACATCGGTTCAACGTCAGTTTAGAAAAAATCATTTATCAATTAAACATTCACTTGTAGGGTGTAACATGGGACCCCGTAGGCAAGTATATCGCAAGTCAGTCAGATGATAAATCCTTAAGGATATGGAGGACATCCGATTGGGCGCAGCAAGAGGTTGTGACGGACCCATTTGTTGAATGTTCGGCAACAACGCACGTCCTCAGACTGTCTTGGTCTCCCGATGGACAGTACTTAGTATCGGCTCATGCAATGAACGGTGGTGGTCCGACTGCACAAATTATCGAAAGGGAAGGCTGGAGGCAAGACAAAGATTTTGTGGGACACAGAAAAGCGATTACGTGTGTGGTAAGTGAAACATAGTATATAATAATGCCGTTTTATAACCATCGCTATCCACTTTCAGAGGTTTAATTCGAATATATTAAAAAAACAAACGTCAAGTAGTCCGAAATCAACGCAATATTGTTGCTGCGCGATAGGGTCACGAGATCGATCTATTAGTGTATGGTTAACTTCTCTAAAAAGGCCTTTAGTTGTGATCAAGGACCTATTTGATGACAGCGTACTTGACATATCATGGAGCAGCAATGGTTTGTATTTGCTGGCGTGTTCCTGGGATGGAACTGTGGCGTGCGTTACTTTTACGCAGGAAGAAATCGGGACACCATTATCGATGGACGAAAAGGTAATTTATTTATTTATTTATTTTGGAAATAATGCTATTTTAACAGTTCACTCATAAAATTCTATATTGTGTTACAAGTGAAGGAAAGTGTTAACTCCTTACGATTTTAGAAAAATTCCGACGAGCAATTGGTGGGAGCCGCAGTTGAAGGCAGTGAAAAATTAGCATAAGTGATAGCTTTTTAGCTTTTTTCATTAGCTCCCAACAATCGAAAGGCCTTAAATATGGATACAAATTAGATTCCGTCATCAATTTGCTTGCTAACATTTTTTTTCTTTTTGTATAGTGGCACTTTTGATTTCCAGAATCTGTATTATTGAAATGCTTGAAAATGTTCATTTCCAATTTTCTTGAAAATGATGCTGATTATCTTCATATTTTTTGTCCTTAAAGTGATCTTTGGAACCAAATCATTGAAAATGCCATGAACAATTTTTTTGCAATCTATGAGTATAATCTGGAGTTTCGTTTGTATCTTCACAGCCATTTTCGAGTTACTTAAAAAAATGTGGTTTTGGCAGTGCAGATGTATTACTCTGTAACTTTTTAAATATTTTTGGGTTCATAGGAAACGATTATGTTCCCTATCATCCGATTTAGTTTGGTGCTACATTTTAAAAGTACCCTGTAGAATTGGATAAGGAATAACCTACCGAAGCAGTTTTTTTTTCATTTTATTGAGTTATTGACAAACTGAAAATTTCAATTTGCATTTTTATTTCGTTTCTTTATTTTAATCTAAACAGAAAAAGGTGGACCTTTTAAACTCGGACATATTTTTTGGAAAATTCAAATAATATGTAGTCATACTAGTTGTAGCGTTGTAAATTTCGTTGTTCTTATGGGCACCATGTTAGATTTTTGCATTTTTTATGCGCCCTATTATCATAGTATCATATGACTTGATTCACTTTTTTGTTTCCATGGAAATAACAAATTGTTCATTTTTACGAAGAGTGCTTTGAAAACAAAAAAAAACATTCTCAAAACAAAATTTTGACAGTTCAACTAAATCTTCAATAACATCAAGGTTTAGACAACAATGCAATTTTAACATGAAAAAGAGCGAGTTGTGCTTCAAACTTATTATTTAATTAAAAAATATATATTAAATATTGCATGTTTAATTCTCAAACTTGTGACATCAATGAAAATTTAACTCGACTGTCAAGATTTCATTTTCAGTGAGGCGTTAGTGTTTTGTCTTCAAATCACTCTTTGTAAATGTATATCATTGATTTTCAGTCGAAAAAAAAAATTTTAATCGAAATTTTCAGTTTTTTGTCGATAGCAAATAAACAAAACAAAATAGGTCAAATGTCTCAACATTAAATTTGTATTCTAGAATGCGCTTTATGAAACGGTTTATCACAAATCGTTACAAAGAAACTGGAACTTGAGTTTCACTGGGACTCAAGTCGTAGAGAATCCTGACCTACTTAGTGCCATAGACGAAATAAATGAAAAAAACGATACATCGACTGCAAACAAAATAGAATTCCAAGAGCCCCAACCGGTAGTTAAGGATGTAGCTTTTGAGTCGCCAAAATTAAATCAAAGCATATTAGTTCCTGCGAATAAACAGCTCGAGACAAGATTGCCTTCGGGTAAAAGAAGAATTACACCTATGTTGCTAACTTCAGTGCCAAACACAAACAAAGACAGTTCTGCTGATCACTTAAAGTAAGTTATAAAACATTTATGCAATAGTTTAATTTTTTTTTATTTATTATTGTTAATAATATAAAAATTTAATAGTAATTTCAGAATTATTATGACATGACAGAAATATAATAGTGACACTTAATAAGTTCTCGCCAACAGATGGCGTAACCAAAACTACTAGCGTGTAGTTTAAGATGGTGGCGCACTTATAAAAGTAGTAGTATAAGCAAACTTGAAATTCAATGCATGTTTTTCGCGAAGTGTAAACTACTTGTTAAACATGTTGAATTTCGTGCCAAAAAAGAGTATTTGTGGGAAAATTTACTGTACTACTTTATTCAAAAGAATTCTTGTTGAGACTCACGGCAACCATGTTCTGTCGCAAAAAACGATTTTTTTTAAATAAAGCATTAATTTTCATGAAAAAACAGCGAAAACTTATTCAACATCTCGATAGATAACAAACTTTGGCAAAAGGTGAACCAAAAAAATGAGAAGATGTAAATTTCATGAAAAAGTTACAATAGAAACACAATTTTCTAAATTCACAAAAAATAGGTTTAACTAAACCCGTCTAAAATTTTGTTAAGACCTATAGATTCAGCATTAAAAAAAATTGCAGCCTTAAATACTAGTTAACGATTTTTACTTTTTTTTTTTTTTAGTGTAAATAGTGACACCCAATTTCCCTCTCAAACTTCGTTTAGTAAGTCGTCACCAGTGAAAAGTCAGATAATAGTCGAAACGATAAAACAACCTCAAGAAAAGCCAAAAACGTCAAGTGAATTGAAAACATTGTAAGTCATTATTTGCCAGCAAATTCGTTTACGATTTTCATAAATACTAAATTGCAGCCAAAGTGGTAACGAGATCCACAAAGTTGTGGTACAACCGCCTGGAACGCAAATAAACCAACTGATGTGTTGTGAGGTGCCTGGCGACGAACCTATCATTAAAATTATAAACGTCCTTGATCCACTAAAAATGCCACCTGGAGTGACTGTTACGAAGGAATGCGGAACGATGAAAATACAGGTATTTTTGTCACAAATTGCAGTTGATGTTACTTAACCTTGAAAACTTGAATGAAAGCATTCAATACGTTTAAGTTGTATCGAAATTTAGACAGAACAATTCTCTAGCACATTTTTTAAAGAGCTAAAAACAAATTTTACACGAGAATAATGACCAACTTTCTAACCTCAAAAAAATCAGGGTGTAAGATTCGCTGCCCTCCAGTTACTTGGTTTAGATAATTTGAGGTTTAGTTTTGAACGCATGAAACTTGCCGTCCACAATTTTGACTAAGTTCATGCGATTTTTTGAAGTTAGGTACAAATTCTGTTTTTTTTTTTTTAGGTTAGAATGTTTTCATTATTTTAAGGTTAGGTTGGAATTCTAACTTTTATTAACTTATTACATGCATTAATCAAAAATAAGTACCATTTTTGCTATTTCGACCTATTTTTTGAGGTTAAAAAAAAATTCTGACCGGATGACGGAAATGTGTTGTCAAATTCGTATTCAGTGGTTCAAAATACAAAATACCGGACATCAAAGTTATTTTATTTTGTGACTGACTACAGAATTATTTGTTTATCGTGAACTTACGTCTTTTATCCATAAGTTTACTTAACGATAAGCTATGGTCCCGTTGTATATTAGAACCTTGCCTGCTTTCTCATTTACTTTTCAAAGAGTGTTTCGAACAATATGAATAATTTGTCGTCATATTTTTAGGTTACAAATAACTGCCATAAAACACCAAAAGGTTCATTATCTAGAATAGAAGTTTTTAAGAATATTAATGATAAGGATCCTAAGTGGGACACATATTTAGGTAATTAAATTAATTCATGTAGAGCAGTGTAATCGAAATTTAAACCTACCAGAACGTGCGCTGTCAGGGTTGCCATCTTTACCCAAAAAAAAAAAAAAAAAAATGATCTTAATCGAACAAAAAGCTAAAAAAACAATTGAAACTAATCCTAAGGTACATTTTGACATTAAAATTTGAAATAAATAGCAATCTTCATCTATGGTGAGCAAATAATTAATGCTTATTTATACAGGGTGCGGCATTAGTGCGTCGAAATACGATATCTCCGTTATTATAGAAGATATCAAAAAAAGTTATTTACAAAAATTGTAGCCGACTTAAAACTGCACATTTTAAAACATTTCATATATATACAGAGTGTTACGTGTTACCAGGGTGAACCAAACATACTATTTTTTAAATGGGACTCCCCTAAACAGAACAACCTAACAATAATTTTTTGCAGGCATAAGTTTTTGATATTGGCACAGTTTTACGAGAAAGTGCTATTTCTGTATTATTGCAACAGTTGAATATAGGGCGAACCAAAACTCGAGCACATCATTTTCTCAATTTTTTTAAATGAATCGTCCTGTATTGTATTTTAAAAACTAAAAATACACTTTATGTTCTTTCATTTTTATATAGCATTCCCCATAGCTAAAATTATTAATTTCTGAGATATTAAAGTTAACATTGTTCCTTTTGAGTGTATTGATAGAGAGAGGCAATACGTTCAAAAAGAGACTCTCTCAGAATCACTTACTAGACATATAACCAGCACGCATTCCGGTAGGTTTCAATTTTGAGGAACCATTAACAGAATCAGTAACTGTTAAAGTATTATTGATTTTTTCTGCTGGGTTTCAGGCTCATCCATAAGATGTATGGCTTGCAATAGAAAGACAATAGTAGCTTGTTGCGAAGACTTAACGATAAATTGTTACGATCTCAAATCTGGTGCTAGATCACTGCCACCTTTATTAATCGAAGACGTTGTCTCTTCTCTTAGTCTTTCCCAGAATAGTTACTGTTTGGTATTAACCAAAACCGGATTATTACATATGTGGGATCTACAGAACTCGAAAAGTTTATTAACCCGCATCTCAGTGCGAAGTTTGTTGACGGGGAAAGGTAAGTGGTTGTCTTACATTAAATATATTGTTTTTACATCAATTTTTTACTGTCTGCTATTGTTGTACTGGATATAAAATTAGATCGGTAAATATCATGTTTACTCTTTTATTTATGTTTCATTTCAATTTGAGATTAATGACACATTGTATTGACATGTACTGACACTACCCAAAAAAATTGTGCACCTATTCTCTATTAGTCAAAAGTTCTTTGTATTTCTTGCAAAATAATATTTATAGATATCCTTCGATATTGTTTTCCCCAAATTTTTTTAATATTTAAATTCCCTAAAAAGAAAAATGCTCAAATTACATTTGATTCTGTGTTTCCGATAGATGCAGTTCTAACACACATTTTGTCAGTAAAGAGATATATTTACGATGGAGTTTCTTTAAGACACTAAAGAAAGTTACATTGCAATGTATTTCACTACTTCGCGACGATAACCATGACCACCATTGTAAACACTTTACAGATGTAGGAACGAGCTACGCACAACCCACAGACTCAGTTTTGCAAATCGAGTTGAATTGATTGCACATTACAATTTTTTTTTTATTTTTTAACAATGAAAATTACTAGGAGGGGCGCCGCACAGTGGGAAATATTAACTAATCAAATAGTACTGATTTTTTTTTATTCTTTCCGAAATTACCTGTACTACAAAGTTCCGGTGAGGTAATTGGAGTATATGCTTACAATTTTTTCATAATGGTCGAGTAATCTCTAGTCTCAAACTCGATCATACGAAGTTTGACATATTCGGTATCTAAAAATGAACAAAAAAAGGAAAATGATGTACTAAAGGCTGCCAAACAAAAAAAAATCATAAACATTAAACATATTCCTAAATCATGAATCTAGACCCAAAACATAACCTCAAATTTATAAATCGTAACCTAAAACGAACATACTCAATTTTTTCTAAACCTGTGAGTATAAATCCATAAAAATGGTACTTTTGAGTGTGCAACCTGAAAACCTAACCTCAAATCCAAAATAATTGAGTTGAAAACCCACAGAAACAATATATTTTCTTCAACAAAGGATTTGATTGCTTCAAAAAGACGTTCTACAATATATGATTTATGATTTATAAATTTGAGGTTATGTTTTGGGTCTGATTCAGGAATATGTTTAATGGGTATGATTTTTTTTTTGTTTGGCAGCCTCTAGTACATAATTTTCCTTTTTTTTTTTTTTCATTTTTAGATACCGAATATGTCAAATTTCTTATGATCGAGCTTGAGGCTAGAGATTACTCGGCCATTTTGAAAAAATTCTACGCATAAATTCCAATTGCCTCACCGGAACTTTATAGTACAGGAAATTTCGGAAAGAAAAAATCAGTACTATTTGATTAGTTTTGACGTGTGGCTCGAATTTCTCTAATATCGAACTCCTTTGTATTTATGATTTTTAGGTTCTGTGAATGGCTGTAGTTTAAGTTCAACCAATCAACCAGTTCTAACTTTATCAGATGGACGAGCTTATTCTTATTGTATGAATCTGCAGACATGGTAATTTTTCAGATATTTATTTTTACATTCGTTAATATACAGTGGGTTTTACATTTTACCAATCTACATAACTATTATGTTTTCATTGAAAGCTTCATTAAAAAACTATCTTTAGAATTCCAAAAATTAGCAAAATATAGCACTCAAAATTAAATTATATCCAAAATCAATCACATTTTCTAAAAAAAAAAATACAAAACTGCTATTCTACTTTGTACTAATTATAACTTAGAAGTAAAAAAAAACACAAATTTTTTTAATATTAAAGTCAGAACCTTCATTTTTCATCGCTACATTATAGTCGTTTTCGTCTAGGGTTCAGTTGTCTAACCCTCTAGATCCTGTCAGCGGAACGGGAGGAAACTTAATAAGACGCGTTCCGGCTAATTTACCGTTGGCGTCACTGCAGCGACACATGCCGGTACAGAGGTGCATGGATACATTACCACCAGGAGTGACATTAAGTTTTCTCGAATCACAGATTACCGCAACGAGTGTGCTACAGTCAGCCGCTGAGTACAGGCATTGGTTGATTGCCACGGTCAACCATTTGCTTGATAAAGGTAGCGTCGTGAAGTAATTCTTCCAAAACTTTCGGTATTTCTTATTATTATTTCAGGTCCTGAATGTAGGTTACGGCTCGTGTTGGATGATCTTATGGGTCCGAATCACACGTCATCGAAGAAACAGAAAATGGATACTAGATTGGTAAGAGTTTCATTGTTAGTTCTCCATTTTATGTGATCACCTTTTTGGTGTATGCTATGTACGAGAATATTTTTTGGAAAATCTTATTTTTGCAGGAAGGAACCAATAGGACGCTCCTAAACGAAGTATTAGCAATTATCAAAACCAAATTACCCTGGCAAAGACTGTATAAAGAATATAGTGAACAGCTTTCCGATCCTTAGTATATTTTTAAGTTTAATTAGGATAGTTTTCAGTGAATCTTTATACAAGTCATAGATATAAGTTTATTTTTTAATAAATACAGAAATGATGAAAACCACAAGGAGATAGTTTGAAACAACCTTGTGCATGACTGATCACTAAGCAAGGTCCGAGAACGAGCTGTACAGGGTGATCAATAGTTCTTGGGAAACACTTTTTTCTCAAAAACAGTTGAAGATAATTAAATTCCGATATCAATGTTATATTTTCAGTGACCGAATGCTCTGGTAATTTCTTTTTCTCAGAAACAAATATTTTTTTGAGTGTGAAGCGAAGAAAGCTATGACTCTATATTAATTCGAAGTGAACACACTGTATAACAAATTATTTTTGCCAACATTTCAGTGCAGTCACTGAAAATATGACACCGTTTTCAGAATTTAATTATCTTTAAATCGTATTCAAGAAAAACTGATTTCCCAAAATACAGGCTGTTTTCAAAGTTCAGTCATTTATTTTAACAGCTGGTAGAAGTCAAAAAAGAAGTTGATTTACCAAATGTCATTTATATAAAAGTTGTGAAATAAAACAATTATTACCAATTATTTAAAAAAAAAGAATGACATTTAAAAACTTTATAATACAAACCTGATTTATTGTCATTTTCAAGCACTTCCTTGTAAAAACATAAATTGTTTGTGTACTACTGATACTGAGTCTTTTTTTTGTAGTTGCACGGTTTTGAGTACGCTTTTCGATTTGACAGTGCTAAATAGCGCGATAATATTATTTTTGTTTTGTGGGTATTTTGTACAATAAAAATTGTACATGTTTATGAAAACAATGTGGACATAATATTAACTTATGGAGAATGTCAACAAAATGCAGCTGCAGCATGTCACTTGTTCGCGGAAAGGTTTCCTTTACGAAATCATCCAGCTCCGCAAATGTATGTAAATTTAGTTATAAGACTACGCGACACAGAGTATTTAAAGGAACAACGAGGAGGTCACGATGGAAGACCTCCTCCACGCCAAATGATGGAGATCGAGGAAGAAACTTTAGGAATTGTCGAAAACGAGCACTAGGTCCATGTTAGTAAACAAACAGTTTATCTTCCAGCATGACATCCTGTGGTCGAAAATTACAATAAATCAGGTTTGTATTATAAAGTTTTTAAATTTCAATTTTTTTTAAATAATTGTTAATAATTGCTTTATTTGACAACTTTTATATAAACGATTTTTGGTAAATCGACTTTTTTATGAGTTCTACCAGGTGTTAAAATAAATGACTCAACTTTGAGAACACCCTGTATATAACGATCCTCCTGTTTTTAAGGAATGATTTCTAGACACACATTTCGCGATAAAACAATTTTGAACTAAATTATTACCATAATCGACTAACGAATATGAAGTATTTTTTAAATTAAAATAATATTTTCTTTACTTAAATTTTAATTTAATGGTGACATTCCATTTTTCTCACTTCATAAAGCTGCTACTTTAGAAAATATGAAAATTTTATTAAAATTAAAGAAACACTTGATTATATCCATCAGTAAATTATAATAAAAAAATATTTTTTAGACATATGGAACTTTTTCAAAATCGAAATGTTGGGCAACACCCTTTATTTTGCACAAATTTCGTCAGAAATTTTTTCATCGCGAAACGTAAATTGTAAGTTAAGTTGAACTTCCAAACCCAGCTTATATATTACCAGCAAAGGCAGTTCAGCTAAAATAAGTTGTACATCATTCTCGATCAATGGGACACCAGTCTTGTTTAGGATATCGGAAGTGTTTTGAAAAGTGTATACTCTAAAAAAATCATGTGATGTATATTTATTTATAGAATTTATTTGTCCAACAGTGAAACCACCAATTACATACCGAAATAGACACAAAATAACAGTAACAATACAGTGTAAACTCTTTTTAACGAATCTTAACCGGACCGGGGATTTTTTGATCTAAGTCTTCAAATTTTGGCTTCCTTAATTTTTTAGTAGACACTCCCTGCAATTCCGCCTATAGAATTGCTTCTTTGTTTTTCTAAATGGTAGCAATAGTAGATGGACTGAGGCCTAAACGTCTTCCAACATCACTTTTCTTTTCTGCTTTTTCTATCACACGTATCAAACAAACTTTTTCGTCAACACAACGCTTTTCTTTTACTGGCTATCTTGACAGTTTCAAAGTTGGTATACGACTGATAATAAACAATAGATGCCTAGTGCGTTTAGTAACTGAGACCAAAATTTCCTAGAAACAATGTAATCCATGAGTAATGGCACACGTGTTCGAGGCAATTAACAATAACAAAAGGAAGGCAGTTGTTTGCGACCTCAGGGTGTCTTTCTTAGAAATTTCAGCACCTCAAAGATTTAGTCCGAACCTTTTGTAAGCTGATTATAAAATCAATTACACTATTAAATACTTCTGTAAATATTTGCTATCGTCTAAATATGAACATATTTCTTCGTAATAGAGCATGGCTGTTGCGCTATAGTGTATTAATGTGTGGGTTTTGACATAAACCAACCAAATTGACCTAATTTCTATGTTATAGGGAGTTTTTCGTTATAACAAACAATGTTATAAAGAGTTTACGCTGTATTAGTAATCAATACTACTGAAATATCTCAAATCTTATTAAAATATGCAGAATATTTTCTGTATCAAATCCATCTTATGTTCTATTAGGGGAGCACTTTAGTTGCTAAGCTGTGCTTCCAACTGCTCAAATAAGATGTCAAACTGAAAAATTTCTTCATAATCAGCAAATTATCGTACTAGTGGAAACTGTTTAAAATTATATCTGCAGATGCATCTGATGGTTCTATTTGTGATTGCTCAGCGAATAAAAATTATATTTTGTGATTTGGGATCGTGACATAATTGTCAGGATTATATCAGAAGTGGGATACGTTGATTTTCACAAATACATTTTCCATTTATAATACATATAATACCGTTTTTACTGCGAGTTAACTTTTCATGGCTGATTCGAACAGTTGGAGATGGTAGGAAGATGCAAAGTAAAATAATTTAATTTAGATAGGGAAGTTAAATGTTTCTTATTTCCATGTAGATCTTCAAATGAATTAAAATAACGATAAAATCCAAATTTTGATTTGATAATTATTACTCGCTAAATTATAGGACCATTTCTATTTGATGACACGTATATCATGATACCAATGGGCATAGAATAATTACACTTAAAGTGGCATCACAATTACCTTCTGAAATACTTCATAAAAATGGTAAAATATATCGCAATCTTTAATTTTATTTAATAAAAATTGTATTTATATTACTAGTGCGTTGGATAAACTAAAGAGTTTGCTGCAAGTAATTTTTTATTATAATTATAATCTTTTTTCCAAGAAAAAAATTGACAAATTAAAAGTCTTACCAAAGTTGAAAATATGAATACTTATAAAATTAAAATAATACAGAAAATAATCCATTTTATATAATTTTATTTTCTAATATGGACTATTACAATATCTAGAAGAACATGTACACCTACATAGCAATTTATATGTAATTTTTAGTTTTTTACATATTAATAAAAATTATATATCACATTGTACCTTCTTTTTTTTGTAACTTCATCTCTTCTTCTATATATTTATCCAAGTCGTTCAGAGGTTTATAGTACATGTGTACTGCTTGAGAGCCTGCAAGCATTGATAACATGGCTGCTGTCACAAAAGTTAAGTATGTTCTCCAAGATACTCCTACCGGCATTTTTTAGGAATTTTGTTCATGAATACTTTCAACAAAATTTTTAGCCTGCCTTTTTTTGAAGGTTTTATCTAAAAAAGAGAGAATAATTTACTTTACAAAATAGTAGTGAATTTCTTCAATCGACAACTTGATGGCATTAGCGCAGGTGCAATATAGACATAATATATGTACAAATTAATAAAAATGGGGTTGAACAATTTCTGAGTTGGCTTAGAGTTCTTGATGTTTCAAGAGGTATGAAGAAGAGCAATATGCTTCTCAAACCCTGAAGATATCTATAATGTTGCAACTAGCTCGCAAACTGTGCAACAATTAACTACTGCCCATGCAAAGATGTTTATGCCAAGAAAAATGTTTATATTTTTATTGCTTCCGTAATACAGTTTTGACAAGCAATCTATAATTTACCTATTCATAGATCTTAATATTAATCTAATACTATTAGATACCAAATTTTAGCTTGTAATTACAACAAAGGCGCTTAAACACGTGGAAAGCAAATATACCACAATACATACTTACAAAAATTTATTTCTCCTACTTGCCAATTTATCATTGAAAATTCTAAAGATGCTCCGAGAATAAAAAATATAGGAAGAAATCTATATATACCAAAATATTTTTTTCCCGGCCATTTATCCAGAAATTGTTTTAAAGGGGAACTATAAAATTTCATGAAAAATTCGAAAATAAATACGTGAAATATTCGACGTTATCCTTAAATTACCGTTACAAATTTAATTTATACGGGCTAAAATTGATATATTTTGCAATTTTACACAGACATAACCTCATTACTTCTTCTTTTTTTGGTCTTCACCATGGCGTATTTAACCAACATAACCTCATTACCAGCATAGACCTTAACTATATAAGGTTCTTCTTCTTCTTCTCAATTGATGGCCGTACAATGCCGTACATTTAGATGTATTTGGCCAGGTTCACACTTTTTTCTAAAATTTTCTCGGAGGATTTGCCGTGTGGTATGTCTGGGTGTTCCCATATCCTCAGAGATTTTATTTTCTTCGGATTTACGCCGAGAGGGATTAATAAGACAGATAGCCCAACATACGAAATATTCTTCTCGCTCTGGGACATCCTAAAAATAACTATATAAGGTCTATGCTCATCACTCAATGCCACAGATTTAACAAAAAATAGAAAATGTACTTTCACTTTTAGTACTCTCCCATCTTTGACAGTTTGTGTTTTAGTATGGCAACGCACCGTAAGGTGCTGCGTTAAGATTTTAATTAATAAAATTAAATAGAAAAACCTGCAATTCGATGCCGTTCTCTGTTCACTTAGTGGACAAAGGGATGAGTATTTAAGATTAAGCTGTGCATGGTATGTACATACGTGAATCCTCGAATTAAAACTGTAAAGATTGTTTCTATTTATAATGATTACTGATTGAAAAATAAACTTGTTTCCAAATATACACCATTGTGGGGACGTTTTAGAAAAAAATAGTCTATCATCATTTGTTTTTTACTTAGTACATTAATGGCTTGAAAGTTGTAGATTGGAACAACCTGTATATTTAAAATAATAGTAAATAATGATAATATAATATATATATATAATATAATATATATAATATATAATATGATAAATAATGATTTTAGTTTTAGTAGTACACTTGTGAAGTTCATTCTCTTATTAGAGTGCGGAAACGTGTCAAAAGAGGCGCTGTTGTGACGCGAGATGGCGGAACTATAGTTACCAATCTATAAAACCTATAGCATAGCTACTAATACTAATCTGTTCTGTGTGTTGATTGTTGTTATTGATTATTTTGAATTATAAACGAGGAATATAACAGATTAAAACATTTTCTATTTTTTTGTTATACCTAATATAAAATGAACGCAGCAATTAACATTGGTGTGGAAGATATGACTGCAACAATAGTTAGATATGGTTTATATTTAGGAGCAGTTTTTCAAATAATTTGTCTTGCAGCTTGCATTTTCATGCCACTTTCAGCAGAAGATAATTCTTGGGGTTCTAGAGTAAGCGTAATTGACAATTATGATATTCATTTCTTATTTCATTTTATTCGTAGGTAGACAGTGATGATGAAAGTTCTGAACAAAGTACACCTCAGAATACTCCTCGAAGGCCCCATCATAGAATCCGAAAGCAGGAGAAAAAGAAAAGACGTTAATCTAAATCTAATTTGATGATTTTCTGTGATTATTATTTCTTGACACTTTTATCAATTATTGGAGCTTATAGTACTGATTTCTAATTTTAATAAGCAAAAAATATATTAGTATTGGATGTTTATTACAAATTATGTGAACCCGGTCTGAATTCTACAGAAAAAAAAATATTTTTTTTTCTGTTTCTTAAGTCGCATCTATGGAAATATAGCTGTACCTATGCATATTCCTTTCCTGGAAATATATTTTGTTAGTTTCTAAATAATACTTGAATACAATTTATCTTGATAGTTTTGCTTCGGTAACTAGTTATTTTTTCCATTTCTCATTTATGTAAATAAGATTACTTCGGTTACTGTATCAAAAAACAACATTTCAGATATATCTTACAAAGTATTTTAGAGCTATCTAACAGCTAAACGAAGCAACTTTGGATCATATTAATTCGACTCCAAAAATTTGTTGTAATTTCATTTTGAAGGAATATTAAGACATCTTGTATATGCGCATTGTAATTTAGCTAATTTAGCTTTGTTTCCAACAGTTATACAATATAGGGTGTCCCAATATTGAAAATATATTCCTTGTACTGAAGGTAAAACTTTATTCTTACTTTCAATAAACCACTTTCTTAATAAAAAATATTCATGGTGATTTTTACCCATTATCCTTCCCTTATCATTTATTTGCCGAAAGACTAGACAGATTAAGCTGGGAGAGATTTGAAAAATAAAATGGAGATATAATTCTTTTATATTTTTTAATTACTATAAGGAACATATTGCAAATATTTTAAACAACGATATAGCCATACACAATATAATTTATTTTTAACACGTTCCACACTGACCGACTTGAAATTTAATCCATGTAAAAATTATTGTGAGATCAATGAATATTTTTTATTCAAGTCCGTTCATCAGACTTTCTAAAAAGAATTATAACATGCAATAGGTACGCAGGGGAAAGATATCCATTTTTTTTCTCAATCTTTCCCCCGTACATTGTAAATTCATTTTATAAATCTCGAAAATTGATATCTTTATCTGCAAAAATATCAGATTTGGACAATAAAAAAATGGCCTCAACAATTTCTCAAAATTTTCTATGGATTAAATTTTAAATCGGTGAGTGTATATTAGAAATACTCTATGGAATTTTGGACGTACTTATAGAAAAGAACTATAGTCAGGAATTAATAACTTCCAACATGTTCAAATATTCCATATCAGTCTGTGTTTCCATATGACTTGTATCTTTACAAATTACATTTTTTCTACCACGGGATACCATCGTTTGACTTTCAACTGATCGCAGAACATCATCTAAGACTGTTTGTGTTTGTATGTCACTGAATCCCAAATCATTTAATATTTCGTTACAAGTCTGAGTGTACATATTACTCATATAATAATCACAATTAAACATTTCATCGCTTAGCATAAAATCAGTTTGGGTTTCCATGTTACAATTAAAGAATTCAAAGCTGCTCATATTTGCATTTAATGTTTCTGCGAATAAATCTGACGTATCTGTGTGTATCGAATCATGAGTGGCTGTGGAAATTGAATAAATATCATTACTTTGTGTTTGAGTGCCAGAGGAATTTTTTTCAGTCTCAGTTTTTAATGAAAATTCAAAATCATCTAAGTTAAATGATGTGTTACATGATGTGCTTCTTGATTCAATAATATCTGTCTGTGTAATTGAAGTTTTCTGATCGTTAGCTTCATTTAATGCATCCAACTGTTTTCGATTTATGTTAACAAAATCACCCATGGTTTGTGTTTCGACGGTAAGCAAATTTTGTTTCATTTCAGTCTGCGTTTGTTGAGTATTTTGAGAGGTTAGTACTGCATTTCTGTTTACTTGGGTCATTTTACTCCTCAATTTTGGTTTTTCTTCTTCTGTTTGAATTTCACGATTTGTCACAGACTTATTTATAGTAGGTAACACTACTAAACTTATACACTGTTTAGGGAGAATTACACGATTTTTGTTGCTAGGGATGACGTCTTCACTTTTAGAAATAGCAAGTTTTGATTTATACTCGGACTTAAATAATATATTATGCTTTTTGCGTCGTCCATGTGTTTTGAGAGTTTCATAACAGGAATAAGTTGCTTGACAATCACAGCACTCAAAATTAATTCCACAATATTCAATATGGTTATTTAAAAAATTTTTAGTAGGAAAATTTTTCTGGCATAAAGTACACTGAAAGTTTTTAGTGCAATGTACTTTCACGTAATGCTGGCGCAAGCATTTCATATTTTTGAAAAATTTATTCTTATTGTAAATACATCCCACCTCTGGGCAATAGTATTGTTTTAAACTCAAATTTGAATCTAGTAGATGAGATTTTTTGTGCGTTTTCATTAAATGCAATGTGAGGTTAGATTCTGATGTGAACACGTTTGAACATCCATCTTCGGTACATTTGACTAAATTATTTATTTTACATTCCTCCACAGTGGGGTAAAACTTCTTAACAGTGGAACTTTTTACTGTAGTATCCATATTTACAACTGATAGGTGGTAGACTTACACTTTCAGTAGAAACGACTGGTTGGGGTAAATCACTAAAAAAAAATAATGGTTCATGCTACTAAAATTTGTTTACTGTTTACTTCAGCATATCTTACATAGTAAGTAGTTCAAAACATTATTCAAACTAATTATTTTTCAACAAGTAATTTAAATGATCTGTCAAATTTTTGTTGGAACTGGAATTTGACAATTTGGCGTTTTGCTTCGGTTATTTAAGGACGTAGTTACCTGGTAACACAAATTATAGTTATTTGCCATTTATTTAAAATTGAAAGGGTATCGTTTAATGAAATGACACAAACTAGATTGATAACGCAATATCTTTTAATCTAACCGTATTACACAGTACATACGCAATGTACAATACAATTTAGCCATTATTTAACTAAATTCGATACAGTAAATTGCAATTCGATTTGCTAATAAGTATTAGAAAAAATAATTCTTACGTATTACGTGAGGAATTACAATTGGTGAGAATTTATTATAATAATATTTTACGTTTGTATTTATACATATTCACCGCCATAGTTTATAAACTGTTGTCATGGTACCGCATTCCACTCGTAACAAGCAAAATTTGTGAATTGTGAACGTGTTCATTCGACAAAAATCTTCTCAGACGTCAAAAATCATTCGTGTAAGGACGTGAGGTAAACGTCAATCTATCAGTTAGTTCGGTATAATAAAATTTGTTATAATGTGAATGTGATGTGATTGTTATATTTGTTTACCCAGGAAATATTCACTGGAACAGAGGAATAATGAAAAAATCTTTGTTAACAAATGCGAAGTATGAAAAATTGCCCCAGTATCCATACAAAGATGTAGACGATTTAATTCACCGAACGGTGAGACAAGTTTTATAGTATATAAATATAATGAAAAATACCGAATTATGAATAAACGTATATATCCTTGTTTATATTTTCTGTCTACATTCTTTTTATAGTGTAATAAGGTTATAATGTGACCGTTTGACCCTCTAAAATCATCGATCGATATGCGGTGCTAGATAATTCTACTAGTTAATTAAAAACCAATATAAAAACTTTCAAATGAAATCAATCAAATTCAAATTTAATAATACATAACTTTAATAATTTTGCTGTAACTTAATTCTTGATAACAAATCAATATTTATTTTATTCTAAAGTTGTGGTAGGTAATATCATGGTGAATTGAAAAAAAGTCTTTATGCATGTAAATAAAATATAACGTTCCTCGAGACCTACTTATATATTTTATTTTCTACCAAATAAAATGTACTATATTTACGTATCTATAATTTAATTCATTTTACTGTGGTGAAAGTCTGAAAGTCTTGAAATTGTTTATCATTTCTCCTATTAGTGAAGACTTGTGAAGTGAAGATCGTAATCATGTAATTTAACCGTGAGAGAAAAAAAAATGTGTATTTATTTACTCCTAATTTAAAATAAAATATAATGTTCCTCGAGACCTACTTATATATTTTATTTTCTACCAAATAATATGTACTATATTTACGTATCTATACTTTAATTCATTTTACTGTGGTGAAAGTCTGAAAGTCTTGAAATTGTTTATCATTTCTCCTATTAGTGAAGACTTGTGAAGGTGAAGATCGCAATCATGTAATTTAACCGTGAGAGAAAAAAAATGTGTATTTATTTACTCGTAATTTAATTTAGGAAAAATAGTTTGTAAAATTTTTTAAATAATTTTTGGATTAAATAGACAGTAATAAATTGAAATTAATCAAGGTTATTTTTATTACTTATAAATGCCTCTTAAAGTTCTTATTTTTTAATTCAAAAAATTTGCTAAATTACAAAATATGTTGGCATTAAAGCATGTAAGTACCTAGATAAGTATTTTCTTCTTTCTTGGCAAAGCAACACTAAATTAAATGAAAAATTATCTTTTATAACTAGGTATTATACCGGGTGTTTTAGAAAAAGGTAGAATATTAAAAAATACGACGATCTTGTAGTCCTTGGACCTCTCGTCTTTTGTTTTTGAGATACAAGGTGTGCAAAATTAATTGTATTAAAAACATTGGACGCATTGAACGTTGGTTTAAGCAAGTTTTTTAGAGTGCTAGATCCCTTAATGTTAATTTTTACCATCTGCTGGAGATAGTTAGCTACGATTCTCTTTGTGACATTATGTGACATATGTTTTTTGAGGTTATGTTCTTTATAGATTATGTCGTATAATGTAAAATTTCATTTGACATAAAAAAGTATTATTGTTAAAATAGCTGGACACGCACCGTTTTTGCGAAAAATAAAATTGACTGCTCCAATGTCAACTAACTTCTATTCTTTAATATACAGGGTGTCCAGAAACGAATGGACCATACTATTATACAATCGTAGCTTTCTTGGATGAAAATAAACCGATTTAGATCAAGTTGCTGTAATATAATTTTGCTTCCTTAGAAAGTTATTGATCTTAAAAAAATGTTTTGTTCGTTTAACTAATAACTAACAACTTTTTAAGGCAGCCAAATTGTACTTGGATATTTTGATTTAAGCTGGTTTATTTTTATACCAGGGAGTTGCCATTTAATTAGAGTCAATTCGATTCTGGATACCTTGTATACTAAGGAGTAGAAGCTGGTGGTAAACTTTGGAGGCAATTATTTGCGTTTTTCTCATAAAAAAACGGTGCGCTATCAGCGATTTAGCAACATTTTTGCATTTTTGTGTAAAATGAAATTTTAAATTACATTAGTAAGACATACTCGAAGACATACATACTCTGTAAAAAGCCCAACCTCGAAAAATTTACATCATAAAATATAGGTCGTAACTAGCGATGGTCAAACACTAATTACACTGACGTATTTAGCACCACCGAAAACTACCTGTACTAAATGTTATTGCATTATATAGTTTTTTGGAAAAGATACTTCTAAAATTTGATTTTAAAAAGTCATCTCTGACACCCTGCATTTTAAAAACAAAAGACGATAGGCCGATGGTGCATAGGAAAAACAAATGTCGATAGTTGTCTTAAATTCAACTGTTTTTATCTCAGTTGTCTATGGTTGCTGTATTACCACTGCGTTTTCTGTGACGCCCTGTAGGTAAAAATGTCTTTCAGTGTTCTTTTCTATACATGTCGAGATATCTGTATTTTAAAATATTCTAGGAACGCGAAAGAAAAATCAAATTACAAGTAATGTTTAATTAGATGATAAATAATTCTACTATGTACAACTTGTCTAAGGTAAGTGTATCTATTACACAGTCTATCATGATGAATGATATCGAAAATGGTGAAAGATATAGAGTGGCTCAAATAAGAAAAAAAATGCACTGTGTAGAGATCACTGAGAAGACGTAAACAAGCGTAAACATACATCAAGTTTGAGTTTTTGAGATATTTTGTTAAAACTCTTTTTTTCTTGTCGTTATTATTAAAGATAGATCAAGAACTTTCCCATTAAAATACCATATCATCAACTTAAATTTTTTTTAATACATACTTTTTAAGTATTTTTAATTCTATGATCACTGATCATATCAAGTCTAACTACTTTTTGGATACATTTTAGCCATCCTCAGAAGTTTTATTTATAACATTTCTAAATGCGGCTCGTTATTTGAAAAGAAATAAATCGAAATGTGCTTAATCTATCGTTACAGATTTTTTTGAAAATATGTTGTTTATGCTGTAGCACTGACCATTTTCGGAAAAAACTAAAACAAAATTCGTTTTTTTGCAAAACGCCACAAAAAATAAAAGTACCTATACCCTTAACAACTTTTCCATCTTCCATCGTTTTAAATATCTCCATAATAGGCGTACTTCGGACACGGTGTATATTATCTGCTTGATTAATAGAATAATAAATTTAATTCCATTAAATTACTAAATGATAAAAGATAAGGTTAATTTTTTTGTTGTCATTATTCATTAAATTAAATTATACTCTATGCTTCCATGTGGGAACATTTGTTTATACGAGGTATGTTCAGAAAGTAACCGAACTTTATTTGTTTAAAATTTATTATTAATTTTATACATTATTGCTCCTTGTCTCCTTCAAAGTACCTCCCCTATTTATACATTTTTTCCAGTGGTTTTTCCATTTCATGAAGCAGTCCTGGATATCTGTGATGAATTTGCTTTGATCCAAGAACATGTAGTTACAGAGGAGGTTTTGCGCAACACAGTGCTGCCAATCGCATATCACTAAATATCTCCATTAGCACGTAAGTTCGGTTATTTTCTGAACAGACTTCGTACGTACTATACCATTTTATGTGTATTTTGCTACATTCATTCATTAGTTTCGTTTCATGTTATTTTAATTATCTAATTTAAGAAGCTTTGTGCTTGGAAAATGTTCACACGTTTTATTTACGAAACAAGATTGATTAACACTATTTTAGGTTGCATAAGTTTCATAAATTATTTATAACTTAAGAGCATCATCTTGTTCGGATCACAAATCGAGCGGTATCCGCTTTTTTAAGTTTTTTTTCCGAGGATAGAACGTAGACGGCATTTTGATTAGCATTTAGCATTATATTTACAACCTTAGAATATTTTTCACCTCATTTATCCAGCATCAAGGTTAACAAATTTTTCTTCATGTATATTTCATTGAACGTACTTGGATAAATAAATTATTCATTTTAGTTCAATTCTATAATGTAATAGTTATATATTTTAGCTACCACCGAGATCATACAAATGGTAGGAGATATACCGGGTAGGAAAGTACCGATGGTTTATCTGAAGTTACGTGAGAGCGATAAAGTAAGCCATAGAAATCCATGCGATAGAGAAGGATGGCTATAATGAAGGCGTCTCATAGCCACCTCCCGTTTCGCCCTTCCACAAGTAAGATCCACTTCTTATTTGTGGAAGGGCGAAATGGGCGGTGACAATTAGACGCCTTCACTATACCCATCCTTGTCTATAACATGGATTTCTATGGCTTACTTTATCGCTCTCACATAACTTCAAATAGACCATCGGTATTTTCCTACCCGGTATGTAGAGTTAGCACATTTAGAAAAAAGCGATCTTCGAAATTGTATCCAGGGTTCCAAAAAATGGTGGGCAACCTCAAGTTTGTATATATTAGAACTTTTTGTTTTTCATTCTATTTGTATAATTTTTAGCTGTTATTTTAAGCAACTCCTACTAATTATTACATTTACCGATATCTACTTTGGGAACCCTATACCTACATGAAAATAAAAATTAGTTATTTACGCGGCAAAATAAATACTTACTTAATATCAAAGGCCACTTGATATTATGCATTTCTTTTGTTAAATAAAGAATCAATTGTTGTTTTCAGATTTGTCCACCATTTTCTGGACACAATGTATATTTACGATTTAGCTTTTATTTTGTCTCCATTGTATTTAGCAAACATTCGTCATTTGGGGTCCTTTGCGTAGCATTAGAAACTTGTTCCAACAGTAGTTTGTCTCTAGTTTGCAACTGACCTTTAAGTCTGTAAGTTTTGTTTAAATTTTAAGATCAAGGCTACAGTTAAACTTTTAACCTTTCATTAGTAAACCCTAAAC